GCAGTCTTTTCAGTAATATTACACTTCATCAAACGTACTGGGCGGTTTATGCCTTAAGGCCCTATTATTGCTATCTTCTCTTATCCCACTGGCACACATGGATCAACGTATCTATTTCTAAGTTATACCTCTTCCTTTTGTCACCTATTATACACACATACAACTTTCTTAATGTAGACTATTCTCAATGGATTTTTCTATTAATCTGCTTTTTTCTTCTTATGGGCATACAATGGGGCTGGCCCCGATTTACCCACATTTTCTCGCTTTGTTTAAATAAAAAAAAAAAAAAAAAATTTTTAACAAAAAACAGGTAAAAGATCTCGGTTACGAAAACTAATTTTTTTTATGGCGAAACCATTGATTAGATCACGATAAAAAGTCTAATTAAGCTTATTCTAAGAAAAACAAACATGCTTTAGATCTCGCAATACTTTTGAGTGCATAAACTATTTTTATTCTCACGAGGGAAGTACCCTAACTGTTTAAATGATTTTGGCCTGTAGCTTAGTGGACAATAGGTAATCGAGTGTGCTGAATCCGAATAGCACATTTGTTTGGGCCCAAAATTTTAGTTTAGAGGCCCGGTTTTTCAACGATTCGGTTTGCAAGCTGGACAACTTTTCGAAACAAAAAATGTTTTTGATCCAGCCATATGAAAGAGCCCATCGACAAACCTAAGCAAAACCATTTTTTTTCGGTTTTAGAAGAGGTTTTAAGCGGGTTTTAAAAGTACAAAACTTAAAACTGCAGGGGAAAAACGAGTTTGCGTTCTTATGCGTTTTGTGCGACAAAATGACTGTTTTCTAGGCACCCCCGATTTTGGTCTAGAAGATATTTTGGCTCAAAAACTTTTTCGCTATGAACACCGTTTTCGACAGTTGTAATCAAGTAAATGTAAATCAGTTTTGCACTTTTAAAACCCGCTTAAAACCTCTTCTAAAACCGAAAAAAATGATTTTGCTTAGGTTTGTCGATGAGCTCTTTCATATGGCTGGATCAAAAACATTTTTTGTTTCGAAAAGTTGTCCAGCTTGAAAACTGAATCGTTGAAAAACCGGGCCTCTAAACTAAAATTTTGGGCCCAAACAAATATGCTATTCGGATTCAGCACACTCGATTACCTATTGTCCACTAAGTTTCAGGCCAAAATCATATACACAGACATGTCGAAACCGGTCCTGGGTTGCTCCGTTCTTTTTTGTAAAAAGAAGGTTTTCGAAAAACTCGAACCTTTTTCTTTTGTACGAAAATAAACATTCGAAATCTATCGTTCTCCATGCTTAACGGCAAGATTGTCGTTTTTAGTTCAAAAATATTAAAATTAATGAAATTCAAAAGTAGCCAGCCATAAACTGCAAGTTTCATCTTATGCTGACTTTGCTGGTATAAACTAAGAACTGCAATTCTTTGTCGTTATTAGAATGTTGTCGAGCGGCTCACTCTCACCACTCGCCACCACCTCTGTTGTTCAAGTTTTTGCACTCTACTAGGGAGATTCTTGAATGGGAGAACTTCGATCGACTAAGAACCGATACCGATAACGCCGATCAATATCGGCGTTATAATCGTTCTGTTTCGCCATAGTGGTGAAGTAATCTGAAAGAAGAAGAAGAACTGCGATGAAGAGAAGATTTGTGGGTTCAAAAACAAAATATTCGTTATTGAAAATAAACGATGACAAGAAAAGAAGAGTTAGTTTCTGCGTTTGGTTTTGTGCTTCTGTTCGTTCATCACTGGATTGGGATTGGTATTGGACACAGTGGTTAGATTTTGAACTTGCCCAGTGTTTTCATTTTGTCTTCTCTGTTCTTGACGTTGTCCAAATTTGGCTTCAGCAATGCGTTGAATATTTTGTCAATGTTCGTTCTGCAAATTGCCGTGACACTCTCTCAATTCGAGCAGTTTTTCTTGGATTTTTTCCATTCGATTTTGATTGTCCACTTTGTCTTGATCATTTTTCGCTCGATTCCCTTCTATATGACTGAGTTTTTCTCTCAATTCATTGTAAACTTTTTCTTCTGCTACGATTTCTTGATCGGCTTTGACGACATTTTCTTTCAATATTGTTAATCTTTTTTCGGCTGTTTTTATCGTTTCGCTCGCTTGAGTTTGTCGAGCTTTTTCTGCATTGATTTGACCAACTAAACCTTGACATGTGACACGTCTTTTATCGATCTGAACACCTTTTTGATCGAATATTTCTCGGATGTTCTTCACCCGAGTTTGCTTTTGTTCATGTAGTTGTTTTGTTAACGAATAATTTTGACGAAGTGATTCGACTTTGTTGCTTTGAGTTTGAAATTTTGTTCGAGCTTCACGATGTTTGGCTTCAGCTTTGACTAAATTAGCTTTGGTTGCGTCAAGGTCACCTTGAAATTTCTTTTTGTCTTCTTTCAATGTTTCTCGTTCAGCTTTGACCGCCATCAGTTTTTTGTTGACATCGATCAGTTCCTTTTTATAATCGCCCAGAGTTTCATATTTTTCTCTGATATCGGTTTTCAACTGATCGATGGTTTTTTCTTCAGCTTCGAGTAATTCGCGTGAATAAGTCATTTCACGTTGCCGAGCTTTTTCTCGATTGACCGAAGTCCCTCGTGTTGTCTTGAGATTTTGCCGTTCATCTAAAAAGGAAAAGAGAAGAATGGAAATGAATTGATCATAGAGATTCATTTAGTGACCTTTTTGCATTTGTAATTGCGTCTTCATATTTGAACATTCCAATGTTCTTTGTGATAATTCGTTCGCTGTTTCTTGCAATGATTTTCGATGTTCTTCAACGACTGTCCGTTGTCGAGTGATGTCGTCTTTCAAATCTTCGGCTCTGTTATTCATTTCTCTGATTTGATTGTTATGAGTGGTTTTTTCTTGTTCATAACGTTGAATTTCGGTTTCGGTGCTGTTCAATGTCGCTTGAGCTTTGCTTAATTTCGCTGAAGTCACTCGATAACTGATCTCCGTGTATTGTTGTTGACGAACGGCATTTCGATGTTGTTCAGCCAAACTATCAGCTTTGGTTTTAGCCCTATCGTAAGCAGTAGCTTTGGTCGTAGCAGTTAGTTGGGCTTTGTCTTTATCAGTTGTTGCACGGATCAAGGCCATTCTCGCTTCTTCTGTTCGATTATGTGCTTCAAGGTGTTTATCTCTCAATTTACTGACCTTGTTTCTTTTGCTTTCGTATTTTTCGTTTGCACGAGCATGTTCAATGTTCTGCTGATGAGCATTGCAAACACCACCTAAGATAGATATGAGAGCACCGATAACTCGAACAGCTAATTCACAGCGTTCTTTATTCCTCATTTTTGATTCTGCTATCATCATTTCAGATTTAGCTTGAAATTCTTCAGCAATCGCTCGATCAAGTTGAGCTTTGATCAAGGCTTCATAATTGCCGGCCTTTTCACGTTGAGTTTCAGCCGTACGAAGATTTTGTTTGGCTGTAGCCAAATCCTCTTCTGCTTTTTTATGATCAGCTTCTGCTGATTGCCGCTGTTGAATTGCTTCTTCTTTCTTTACACTTAATTTTTCCGCTTCGATTCTCTGTTTGCTATTTAATGTTTCTAATCGAGTTCGTTCACTTTCCAGTGTTTCAACTGCCGCTTTTTGGTTTTCACGTTGAGTGTTTAATTCGTTCAGTTTGCTTTCGACCTGATTGAGGAGACTTTGAACGGCATCGATTTTTTGTTTTAAACGATTCAAAGCATTTTTTCGATCAGTTAATGCATCTTCTTGTGCATGAAGTTGTTTTTCCAATTGATGTCGTTTCATTTTCAACGTTTTTTCTTCACGTTCGAGTTCTTGAACTTTGCCTTCGTTCTTTTCGATTTCTCGACTTAATTCTTCGATCTCTTCGTTGATCTCGCTGATTCTTTGTTGAAGTTGTTTGAGCTCTTTTTCTAAATTTTTAATTTTAGCATTTAATTCATCGACTTCTTTCTGCAGACGAGCCACTTTTGCTTCTTTATCACGAAGAATTGCTTCTAACTTAATGATATTGCCATTTAATTGGTCGATTTTCTTTTCTAAATCTTTCCTTTGTGTTTGTAATTCACGAATGTCGTTGTTTAAATCTTCCATTTTCTTTTCATTGTTTCTGATCTTTTCTTCGATACTTTCTATCGATGATCCAATTGCATTTCCTAAATGAAGCTCTCTAGCTTTCATCATTCAAAAGTTATTCAAAAAACATTCAGGTACCATTCTTTTTCTGGATGGACAATAGTAGAGTAATAATTTCTGGACAAACTGGTATGAAATTCATACCAGTTTGTTCTTCTTATTCTTCAAAACTTTCTAATTCATACTATGAATTAGAAAGTTTTGAAGAATCACTTTCATTGTTTGTTGCAATATGTTTAAGGCAAGGAAAAACTGCCGAAAAGAAACGTCGTAGCAACGGCAACCCATGGCCATTTCATTATAAACTTGCCGTTTAATTTTGCACAGCTTCATCGTGGAAGTCTTAGGTTTTTTCAAAGAGTCTTACGAATCTGAAGGTGAAAAAACTATTTAATTCGATCGAAAAGTAGTTTGGTTATGACCGATTGAATAGAGGTTTTTCCATATACTCTCTATGTATACAAGGGCCACGTGTTTTATCTATGAAACTGTTTGTCACTTTAAACAAAACACAAAAAGAAAAGGACAATGGTTTTGCGTTTATATACAGGCTCAGTTGTACTTTTCTTGCAGTTAAAATTTGCTTTTCTTCATCTTTTCAAGTAGAATTATTCGGAAAAAGTTAACTAATTTTTAGCAAGCACATAGCAATATCAGAGCGTGAGAGGTGGATAAGATAACTTTTTTTACCATTTTAGACAAAATGTTCAATACCCAGGAAGAAATTTTGAAAAATATTCACTTAGTTTCGAAGGTTTTCAGAAAACCTCAAAACCAGACTATTTTGTGTAAACTTTTAAAATGTTTATTGAGCTTTAGGGTATACTACAGATAAAATGAATGGACAATAGTAGAGTAATAATTTCTGGACAAACTGGTATGAATTAGAAACTTTTGAAGAATCACATCGGTTCTTCAAAAGTTTCTAATTCAGGTCTTGGCTATCAAATACTGAAAACCGCAGCTCTCTACCTATCTTCTGTCAAAAGTTATTTGAAAAAATGACCAGTGCTTTAGGAATGGATAGTAGTTTTCCAGTGTAAAATAGAACGTGACTCTAACATCAATTCTTTTTCTCCCTTCTCCACATATTTCGAAAAAGTCATACAAAGTACTTTTCAGTCCTTGGTGAAAGTTATACAATAACAGAGAGAAACAGAAAGAACGTTCTTAGTAGATGTGCTCATTGTCAACTAAGGCTATAAATAGTGTAATAGTTGGTCAGCTGCAATTACTTGTTCTAAAAAGAGCCATGATTTCTTTTGATCCTAAATTAGTCAAACATGGGACAATATTAATGCGTTTCAGACACTGTATTTGTCTGGAGCATGTATGAATCAAAATAAATGATTAAGAGAGTTAAAGAAGGAAAAGAGAAAAGGGACTAAACTTTTGACGACTACTTTAGACGACCTATATATACATACATCGCCGCAAGGCCAAGCTCACCATCTTTTCCTGAATTTTCTCTCGATGTATCGAAATCGAATCAGCTCAAGTTCGCCATATCTCTCACGAATGCAATAGATCAAATCCGTTCTGATCAATTGCATCTTTTCGTGAAAATATTTACTTTTGGACTATATGCGTGCGTTTGTACTATAGTTTTAGTAGAAAGTTAGTATTCTAGCCAGCTTTGTTTGATGTAAAACATAGTGATGTTAAGATGTTGAAAGAAGTGTGATGAGTTTCCAGGAAATTCGCTAAAAACATTTTCACGCCTGCAACACTGTTATATCAATTTTTTATCTTTCATTATTGGTCTTAGTCGCATAATAGTCTCCCTTTGTGTCTCTTTTTCGAAAAATCATTGCAATAAAACTAGAAGCTTTGTTGAAGCTTCTAATAGTTTACATATACACTGAATATTTTACGCAATGAGAGGTATCGACTTTAGACAATAATCCGTTACAAAACACTAACGGCTTTGACGCTTTAAGTTCCCAAGGTCTTGGTGCTTGATTCTGGGTCAACCACGTATGAAAATGGCACATATAAGACCGATATGACTTTTCTCACGCTAGAAAATAATTATTTTTCATTTTCAAAAATGTTGGGCTTTTATAATTTAAATTTAAAATCAAAATTTGAAAATAATTATTTTCAAAATTCTCGTTAGAAACCAAAGTTCGAACATATCTAAATTTGAGGAAGTTGAGACAAAAAAGAAGCTTAGATGGTGAAGAAAATCAAGAATGGCTAAGAAAACGAGCCCAAAATCCCAGCAAAATGCGACCTTTCGTTTTGTACCAGCTGCAGCCTAGCGGTTTAAACAATAATTTCTTCAGCTGACATAAATTGGAAGAGCACACCTCCTTACATATTTTTGAAAGATTCGTCAATAACAACCTTTTCAAAATCAATAGTCTTCATTGTAAAATTCAGATATCTTGGCTAGCATAAAACATAAACAAAATTTCTTTTTGCCATTTAATAGCCAATTTAATTCTCTACAACCGACATAAGATTAATTTTCTTAAATAATGCTTCTTCAGTTTGTTATAATGATACTGCCGATGACAATTTAAATGACATTGGATTGAGCTTTAAAGGGTTAAGAGTACCCAGGTCCACTATCCCGATCGCGATCGCTATAAACTCACACTTGTCGGATCGCGATTGCTGTGAATTCTTACATTCGCGTCGCCATCATGTGAAAGTCTTACTCACCGAAAAAAGAAGTTTAGTAGTCGCGTCATGACCGCTAAATCTTCGCCCTGTCGTGTCGCGATTGCTAAAAACTCGTGCAATCGCATCGCTAGTTGATATTTCTGAATGAATCGTGACTTTTACTGCTATTGGTGAAACCATTCTCAAAAGCGTATTTTTCATAAAACTCGACTTTTACGATGTTTCTTGCTGTTTTCTTGAAGAACAAACATCATCATTAGGCTCAGCGCGGTCGATTTCGTGAGTTTCATGCAATTTTCAGCTTAGTCTTGGTCATCGACCGAGGTCCTGAGGCACTAATATAGTCCTCCAAAAATCATCCTCTCATCTCGCATGAGTCCCAGTTTAAAAAGAACACCTTGCACAAAAAAACCGACAGATTCGTATTTTAATTTCATAAGTTATGGCCTTTTCAGGTTTTCAAAGATCTAGAAAAATTTCTTGAAAGACTGATTTAGGAAATTATTTTTCTTATAGAAAGATGTTCTTAGATCTCGTCTTTCTAATGGCGAAAAGTGCATTCCTTTATCCTTTCCGTTCCAAAGCTGTTCGAAAAATGAGTGAGTTCATTGTGTTTTGAAACGGAGAGCAGTTCAGTTTTGGAGAATTTCTGAGAAACTGATGAAGAAATCTGATTCTATTCACTAAGGATGATAGATAGACGATGTCGGAGTTGCGTAGAATTGTAGAGGCTATATCTCACGTATTAAAAGTTTTCATTATATTAGAATTATTGAACAATCTTACCTTTGAGCAATCGATAAAGTAAACCAATTGCATGTGCGTATGCACTTAGGTCTCGGTTACATAATGACAAAAAATCGCAAGCCTCTGGCTTTCTTTTGTGGAACGTCATTCTAAAACAGTTCTACGGCAGCTCTTTTTACTGAATAGTCACATTATTCTTGTTACGTTTTCATACCTTTCTGTATCGTGTTTATATGTCTTGTAGTTTAAACATTTAAAAACATCAAGGAAATGGAAGGAAGTGGAGATCGGGGCAAGACTTGAACAATACTACTATGATGAAAGTAGAAATCCAAACATCCCATATCAAGCAACAGAAGAATTTGCAAAATTAACAAAAGATGCGAAGCAATTAGATCGAAAACAATTCAAGATAGAAGTATTAATCTTCACCATTGTTCTTACATGCGAAAAGAAGTTCTTTTATCTTTTAGGTCCTCTTTATTTCCGCGACTAACTATACTATATATAGCAGTTGATTTCTTGTATTAAATCGTCAGTGAGATGATCACATTCATCTATGGTTATTAATCAGTGAATCGAATAGAACAACCTAACAAGTGTTAACTTGTTGGAAAACTCCAACTTTTCGTTTTGTTCTTTCTATTAGTAATATGTACGTTGGAAAATTCCAACTTTTCGTTTTGTTCTTTCTGTTAGTAATATGTACGTTGGAAAATTCCAACTTTTCGTTTTTTTGTTTCTATTAGTAATATGTAAGTTGGAAAATTCCAACTTTTCGTTTTGTTCTTTCTATTAGTAATATGTACGTTGGAAAATTCCAACTTTTCGTTTTGTTCTTTCTATTAGTAATATGTACGTTGGAAAATTCCAACTTTTCGTTTTTTTCTTTCTATTAGTAATATGTAAGTTGGAAAATTCCAACTTTTCGTTCTTTTGTTTCTTGCACTATTTGCAATATACAGAGTGTCCAGATGTAAAATCTATGTTCTTTTTTTATAACTTTATTTGATTCTATAAAAAGAAATTTAATTAATTATCGATTAATAATCGATACCGGACAGTTTGATCGACTCGCTATTCAGTACCTCAGCTGGAAAAATGCTTTTTCTTCAAAATGACATGATTATTAAAGTTCTGTCCGACTTTCTATGAGTTTATTTTGAAATTATTTCAAATAATTCAGAAAATCAACCAAATCAGAAACGCTTTTATTCTTCTTGTAGAGCAATGGGCCGAGAATTCTAACAAGGCTCAAAAGACCGAAGTAAAGGAGCTGCTTTTATGTTTTAATATAGTTCATCAATCACTACTACTCTTTACATGCATCCTACTTGGTCTTCGATTTAAAAAAGAATTGGATCAGTTACAAATTGTCTGTAGCAGAAAACCTAAGGGATGTGAATGGATTGGTCAGCTAAAGGATTATTAGGTACTACTTAAGGAGCAATGTTTCCGATAAATTCTAATGTAAAATGTTTTCTTTTCTTTCCGCGTCATATTTGTAACAGTACAAAAATAAGTCAAATATGTATGGGGGCGCCAGGTAGGCAATATTTATCAGTGTTACGCCCGATAAGTTTACATTCATTTCTTCAACGTCTTGTGTCACTGATTTAAGCCTGTCTCAACAATAATAATCAACCAACAGTTACTTCTGAATTGTCTGA